ACCTCTTTATACTTTTCTGACTTTCAAAATTTTAATAAAATAAGCATAGGTAACAATTACAAATGAAAAAGCAAGGCAATCCATTGTTCATGTTTTAAAGAGTAACTTGTATGCTTCTGGATCATGTTCTCTGCAAAGCTCAAAAGGAAAAAAGAGTGATAAATGGAGTAAACAATCAAACTGTCAGTTACTCATGAACCAACCCTGTATTTTAAAACACTTCAAAATTTCTCTTATTTCCTGTTTATTAACACAGCGTTTTAATTATAGGGTGGCTAAAAGTTTGAATCACTTCAGGGCACTGAACAACAACACTAAAAACCTCAAGCTTTGCGGAGTCCTGACGTCAGGTTCCAAGGAGGTGTTTCCAACCACAGAGACCTTGTGCACAACACAGTCGACACTGCCCGATCCAGGGCTGTCCTCACAATGGTTTCTCTGCAGGAGTCCGCTGCTGCAGACCTGATGTCTTTCCATCTCCTTCGTTGCCCTCCACTTTCCCAAACATGATGTCCTTCTCCAGGCCTGATCTCTCTTGACAACGTGTCCAAAGCATGTAAGAGGAAGTCTTACCCTCCTGGCCTGTAGGGAACATCCTGGGAGTCCTGGGGGCTGTAAATGATTAAGCACTCCTTAACTAACTGGAAGGTGGAGGGTTGGAATCCATGGAGTAGTGCCTAAGAAGACAGGGCTGGAAATCTGCTTCCACAAAGGGAACCGGCAATAATGCCAACTTTCTTCTCCCTTAAACTTCCCTGGCCCCTTTCTGAGGCTCATGATAAAATTAAAAACAAAACAAAACTTGCCTATTTTGAAAAGCAGTCATTTCATCAATCATTTCCAGTAAGTAAAAGGGAAAATCTTTAGTTCTAAACCCTTTTTATATAGGAAGTAATTGAAATGAAAACTACTAAATAAGTCAAATACAGATCTCAGCAGTTAATAAAAAAGAAACCAGATTTTCTAACATGGTTACCTTCCTTCTAGAATAAATTGTTTCAGGAAATTTTAAATAGGAAAGAAAAAAAATAGGTGAGTAAACCTTCCCATGCCTTCTGCCACCCCCCACCTTTTTTTTCATAAAAAAGATTCATAACCAGCTGAGTTTCAGTTTAGATGATGTTGCAAGAAGCCATATCTACTTCATTTATTTAACAAACATGCTTAATCCATGCAGGCTCCTTACAAGTTTGACTCCTGTCTCATAAACTTGGGATAGGAAGAGGTTGACAATTTGCCTGTGCTAAGTCCAACTAAAAGCAAGCGCAGTAGTTGGACAGCTGGTGGCATGTCTTCAGTTGCCCAGCTAGGTTAGCTAGAGCGACAGGGACATCCACCCCGAGAACCCAGGTCATTTTTTATCTTCTCCTTCTTTCCAGAAAGTACCACACCTCCCAGAAGTTTTAACCCAAACTGGAGAATTACACTTCAATCCACTAAAAGGTACTTGAATCAAACAAAATTCTCTAAAACTTCTGGTGAAAAGTGGTAAAGTTCATGCTACAACACTTTGAAATCCCCATTCAAGAGACAAAGGACACCATTGTTTATCCAATGAGAAAGAACTATGAACAACAGGACATCAAGTAATAAATCTGATCTTTTTTAATGTGTGATTTGATATTTCATCTTTCTTCCACATGTATCTGCTTGCTGCTTAATGCGTAAGGGGGTGAGTGGTGCACACACCAGGGACCCATGTACCAGGGTTCATGTACTACTCTGTCCAAGGACAGAACCAGAAAGTCAGTCCTGGGCAGCAACAGAGGGACCGTGCCATAGATCAACTGTAAGCCCCTCACACTTGGAAGTTTCAACATTTCAAAGGGAAGAAAGAAGGCATGCAGGAAATGAAAGAAAGGACCCTGTTATTGTCCCTATTTTCACTAAAGTGAATGCTGGATTCAACTTTTAACATTGGTCCATGTTTTCATCAAATGAAAGACAAAAACATTATGTGTGATTTAGGATATATAACAGAAAAAGAAAGCCAAACATTCTTCCAAGAGGAATCCAAGAGAACAGTTTTATTTTTTATCAAGAGCATTCATTTCATATGCATATGAGATATACGAAACTGAAAATCAAATATACTGATCAAACCCACTGATGAGAGAGATGATTTGTAAGTAGAGGACACATGACTGAAAACACTCATCTTTAAGCAGCATCACCACCTAATCCCCCCAGATCTGATCACTGAAGAGGTATCATTTCCTCCCTCTAAAGATGCAGCTCTGTTCACCCCTTGGGTGAAACCAGCCTGCTCTCGGTGTTATACTGCTGACCACTGACCACTGCAAGGGCAGAGGGTTATTTGCCACCCAGGGCCCACTCAGAGTTGCCTGAGGTCCGAGCCTGTTATGAGAGTTTGGGGGCAAAAAATGTCCCAGAGCCTGTAGGAGTTATGCAGAGGGACAGCTCAGAGTAACCCCATTGGGCTCCCCTTCCCAACAATGTCAGAGGGTCTGACAACAAAATGATTGTCTATAATGCTCTTGTGCAGTGTTTCAGCAGAAATGTGCTATTTTTCATAGAGCTGGCCTGACCCATTGCTGACTTCTGATGGATGTTGGCTGGAAGCAAAGACTACCAAAAAAGATCTTTACTTGTGTTTTCTTGATGATGTAAAGGTATTCAGCTGTGTGGATCGTAAACTGTGGATCACCTTGAGAAGAATGGGAATTTCAGAACACTTCATTGTGCTCACAAGGAACTTGCACACAGAAGAAGCAATTTTGGAAACAGAACAGGGAATACGGCACAGTTTAACATCAGGAAAGGTGCACAGTAGGGCTGTTTTCTCTCATCATACCAGTTCAATCCGAATGTGGAGAAATTCCTCAGAGATGTTTTATATGAAGAATAACGTGGCATTGGGATGGGAGGAAGCCTTGTTAACAACCTGTGATATGCAGAGGACACAACCGTCTTTGCTGAAAGTGGGCAGGTCTAGAAGCACTTGCTGATGAAGATGAAGGATTGTAGCCTACAGGATGTATTCCAACGCAGTGCAATGAAGACCAAAGTCCTCACAACTGGACCAATAAGTAACAGTATAAGTGGAGAAAAGATTGAAGTTGTCAAGGATTTTGTCTTGCTTGGATCCATGATCCATGCTCATGGGAGCAGCAGTCAGGAGATCAAAAGACATTGCATTAGGTAAACCTGCTGCACAAAACCTCTTCAGGGTATTGAAAAGCAAGGGTGTTACCTTGAAGACTAAAGTACGCCTGACCCAAGCCGTGGTATTTCCCATTGCATCATCTGCACGTGAAAGTTGGACATTGAATAGAGAAGACTGAAGGAGAATTGGCGCATTTGAATCGAGGTACTGGAGAAAAATACTGAAAGTCCCACGGGCTGCTAAAAGGATAAACTAATCCGTCTTGGAAGAAGTAAGGCCAGATGCTCCTTAGAGGCGAGGATGGTAAAGACAGCAAAAAAGAAGGGCCTGGAAAAGATGGATAGAGACCATGGTGGCAACAATGGGCCTCCCTCTTTTTCTCCACTCTCCTGCTTTACCAAACATGATGTCCTTCTCCAGGGACTGATCGCTCCTGAACTATATCCAAGCTGTGCAAGATGAAGTCTTGTCATCCTTCCTTCTACTCTGCCCTTACTTCTTCCAACTCAGTCCCCGTACTTGTAATACCCTTCTGGCACCACAATTCAATCGCATCTATCCTTCTACAGTCTTCCTTATCCAATGTCCAACTTTCACATGCATGAGATGCAATGGAGACCACCATGGCTAGGGTCAGGTGCCCCCTAGTCCTCAAAGTCACATCCTTGACACAGTGGCTGCATCAATGGACTCAAACATAGGAACAATTGTGAGGATGCTGTAGGACCAGGCAGTATTTCCTTCTGTTTGTGCATAGGGGACAATGGGTAGGAGCCAATTCAGTGGCACCTGACAACAACAACAACAATTACAATGACTGGCTCCAATGTGATGGTTTCCCCTATCCTTGCTGGAAGCATGGTGTCATGTCAAGCTTCCGCTAACGGTTTCTGTGCAGGTGGTTTTGTCAAATTTTCTGGTGTCCTAGCTTCACAATTAGAGTAGTTAGTATTTGTTAACCTATAACAATAACCTTTTTGAAAATAAAGTAATACTGTAAGGAAAATAAGAAGAAAAATTAAGGAAGCTTTTGATTCAATTGCCAGTAATGTTGTAATTAGTAATGTTGCAATTCAGTGTCGATTGACTTGACAAAACAGCTTTGTTATATTCAGATAATTCAAGAAGTATTACATTGAAGCAGTTAACAGCAATATATATGGCATATTATTCTAAGATGAAAATGGATAATAAACTCTTTATCATGTTTTTGTTGGTTCCTATTAGGGTGTACCACAGAGGTGATATGTCATTGGAGGCCACCGGCTTGAAGTTGAGTTACATGTTGCTCGGTGTTTCGTTATATGAAACCTAGGATTGATGAACCTTTAAAGACAGACAGCAAGTAGAATAAGGCTCCGGGCTGGGGCTGGGGTACAGGTTTGGGAGTAGGGGGTAAAAGGGAAATGATGTCAAGGAGGACAGGAACACAAAGAATGTTTGGAAAACGATTGTGGTGGCAATTGTACAACTCTGCTTGACGTGATGGAACTATGAAATCATACATGTCTCAACGGCCAATTAATAATTTTTTTAAAAGAATTTTATATAGACCGCTACAGGAGGAGGTGCGAGGTAGGGGAGAGGGGAGGTGACAAATGACACCCTGGGTGAATCTAACCTACTGACACCAATGGATCTCCCACCTCACTCCATCACAGGAGGCGGGGCCAGAAGACTTACTTCCTTAACGGAGGGGCCAACCTAGCACCTCCGGGAATTCCCCTGGCCTTGGCTTTCTGGATTTTCCAGTCCCCATCATGGATAAAAGGGGTTCGCGGGGCTCGGAGCCTCAGAGTCCAGAGCACCGGCAGCCTGCCCAGCACCCTCTCTCGCTCCAGACCTCGTCGCCCAGCCACTCCGCTCCGAGCCCATGGCCCGCGCCGCGCCCCCAGCCGCCGCCCGCGCCCCTCGCCTCCTCCGGGCCGCGCTGCTGCTCGTGCTCCTGGTCGCCGCCGGCCGGCGCGCTGCAGGTGAGTCTGTCTGTCTGTCTGCCTGTCCGTCTGTCTGTCTGGGCGGGCGGCCGTCCCTGCGGGGACCCAGCCCCGCTCACCGAGCCTCTCTTCGGCCCCAGGGGCGCCGGTGGTGTCGGAACTGCGCTGCCAGTGCGTGAAAACCATGCAGGGAATCCACCTCAAGAACATATACAATGTCACGGTGACGCCCCCGGGACCCCACTGCGCGCAAACGGAAGTCATGTAAGTCACGCTCGCGCTGCCGCTGCTGCTGCTGCCGCCGCCGCCATCTGTCACCCCCACCCTGGGGCGCTACCCTCCCCCGCCCCCCTCACGTGGATTCTCCTTCTCTCTGTGCAGAGCCACTCTCAAGAATGGGCAGGACGTTTGTCTCAACCCCGCAGCCCCCATGGTTAAGAAAATGATGCAAAAGATACTTGCAAAGTGAGTTGCGGGTTTGTATGGACCACTAGTGGGCCTGGGATCCTTGCTCACATCTTAGATGGGAGGATCTTCTTGTGAGAACTCCCCTGTAGAAACCGAGGGGCTGAGAATCTGCATTCAGAAACTCCTGGCCAGGGAGCAGGCCGAGTCTTGCAGTGTTTCCAAGCGGCTACTGAGGACAACCCTTTTTCTCATTGTAGTGGCAGTTCCAACGGCTCTTTCCGGAGAGAGGATGCGTAGCGGACGCTGTGCTGGAAGCGGACCCTGCCTTTGCATGCCCTGGGAGCAGAAACTGTCAGCTCCGGGGTCCCCCTGCAAGGCCTTCTGCTGGAGCCTAGCTTACCACAGACCTCCCATGGCGTTATTTATTTATTTACTTATTTATTTTTAAAGCGTCCATGTTAATATATTACATGTAAGATAATTAAGGGTGTGGTGGAATTTGTTTACACACTCTACTGTTATGTGTATTGTTCCCTTTATGCCAAATCAACGTTGCTTTGGTCCTGATTCTTATTTCATTCAAAGATAAAGGTTTCCAAATGTTCGCCAGTCGTTCAAATGTCTGTGAAGGAGGCTGCGAGCCACAGATAGTCCAGTCATTGTTAGAGGGGGAGGATATGTGTGTACTTTATTTTCTATTTGGAAGAAGGTTGTTTGCTATTTATTGAAACCATTTTTTTTTTCAGGATGGGGGTCAACATGTCTCTTGTTGAAACTTTTAAGAACTGTCATGTTCTAAAGATCCCTTGGACATTTTATGTCTTCCTTGTAAGGCACAATGCCTTGTTTTATATTAAGTGTGCAATATTTTTCTGTATCATAAATATTTATTAATGGTTATACAAATAATGTGAAAATAAAGTTTCCAAATAAACAATGTCTGGTTCATTTTTTTAAGAGGGATAAAAAGACCGCCCCCCCCCCCCACTTTACCAAGGACTAAATCCTTCGGACACAGCCAAAATACGTGAGGCAAGAGCTTGCCATCTTGCTTCTAAGGAGGATTCTAGCTGTACTTCTTCCAAGACAGATTCATTCCTTCGCTGGCACGCAGTCCACGGTAGGCGCAATATTCTTCGCCAGCACCGCAATTCAAAGGCATCAATTCTAAATTTATCCCATATTGTTCTGTGATTAAAATGGATAATAATCATTCCTAAAGACTCTGTGGTTTGGTACTGGAGGAGGTCCAGCGGGGAGGGGGCGGAAACACCAGTCTAGTGAGTCTGTGCCCTCCTCTCCCGCCCGCCTTCACACACTGACACACTCACGTCCCCTCCTCCTTCCCGTTCCCGTCCCCTCTCCCACCAGAAAGCTGGTGGGAATCCTTGGGTGACTCCCTGTCTCTCCTGGGCCTTCTTCATGTGTGCAGTCGGGGAGGAGGGAGGTGTCAGACTAGTGGGGTGCTAAAGTTTCTTCTGTTTCTAAACATCTGGTTCTGGCCCAGTAGTTTCCCACCACCCTCAAGGGAGTTCCAGGTCTCGGTAGCCCATGTCTTCTCTCCACACCCTTTCCCCCATCTGTCCCCTCCCCTCCCTACCAAACCTCTCTCCTCGCCTCTAGGTCAGGAAGGCAGGGGCTGCAGAGGAGCCCAGCTGACCCAAGTCCACTTTTGAGTTCATGGGGGAAGGGAAGCCCATTCTCTAGCCCAGTGTTTCTCAACCTTCCTCATGCTGCGACCCTTTCATACAGTTCCTCATGTGGTGGTGACCCCCCAACCATAAAATAGTTTTTGT